TCATGAATTCCTCATTTAGTAAGGACAAAGAAGGCAAGGGCATAAAAAGAACAGGCAAAATTCTGGTGGAAATGGTGGAGTTACAGGCACAAGGTTACAGGGGAAATATTAGCTGATTCGAAGGGGAAAATATTGTTAAATGAAAGTGCCATGGCTTCTGCTTCTAAGCGTAGCACTTGGGAAGCTGAGGAGGGGGTTGTAAATTTGAGGTCTCTCCAGGGTACATAGCAAGTCCAAGGTCAATCTGGGCTACAGAATGAGACCCTGTTCCAAAAACAAAACCATATTGTTTGAAGGTTTACTATTTTCCATCATAATAATACTCGTGGACATGAGATTCGCAATGCATTACTAACTGAAAAAGAAGGTCTATACCATAGTGTATGGACTGAAGAGCATGTTAGGCCCAGGATGGCCTGACAAGCCATGTTTTACTTCAGCCCCTGGATCTTTCAGGTCTCTGATGAAGCCTCTACAGCTCAGTGTTGCAGCAGAGTTTTGTGTTCTGCTTATTCAGCAAGGATCTGTAAAGTGCCCATCAGTGGCTATCCCTGTTTGCTAACAGGTTCAATTCCCAGATTCTGTGTTTTAAAAACCAAAAGCCCGTCAGGATGGTAACCCTTGTGTTCCCAGGGATGGAAAGACAGAGACACAGGGAGGGTTCCTGAGGCTCACGTCACTGGTCCTAGCTTAGCCCTATTTAGTGAGTTCAAGAAAGTGAAAATGCCTTGTGTCAGGAAGAGAATGGCTCAAGAGGAGTGATGAGAGGATGTCCTTTGGCCTACACATGCACATAAAGATACCCGTGTCCAAACCTACACCCCTCCCCCACCTGCCTCACATGAGTGTGCAAGAGCCACGCATCGGCAAATATGCACTAAAATATAGGAGCAAGAAAAAACATGCAAGGTTGGAGAGATGGCTCAGAGGTTAGGAGCACTGAGTGTTCTTCCAGAGGACTCAGGCTCAATTCCCAGCATGCACATGGCAGTTCACAACTGTCTGTAACTCCAAAATCTGACACCCTGACACAGATATACATGCAAGCAAAACATCAATGCACATAAAATAAAAATGAATGAATGAATGAATGAATGAATAAGAAAAACAAGCAGATGTGTTCAGAGGTAAAGCCAGAGGGTATGGTGTACCTGTCAATGCTCTTGACCGCAAACAACCAGTTTTTGCTCCTGTTGTATCACAAACACCTGAAGTACCACTTTCAACAAAATCCCAGAAAATACTACCTGAAGAGAAATAGTACATCCTTACAGCTAGATCCTCCACTCTGACGGAGGATCCTCAGCTTCCATTTCTGTGGGAAGATTACTTACTCAGTTCGAACTGTGACCTCTAGTTCATCTTTTTGTTGTTGTTGTTTGTTTGATTATTTGGTAGTGATAAGGCCACTGACTGAACCAGGTCCCTCACACTCCTCTATGACCTTGTATCCCTAAGTAGGAATTTCCATCTTTAAGGTAAAGATTTCTTTGGAGAGTGGAGTACCTCGTTTCTACTAATACTGTTAAGAATCAAAAAGGCATAGTCACCGGTGCCCAGAATAATCATCATGGACTCTGTTAATCAGTTAAGGACAGCTCTGTTCATTTTCGGTAAAAGAAGCCCTGTATCAGTCGTTCTATAATGATACTTCTGGTAGGGGAGCTGGCTCCCTTCAAGGTCAGGGTTGTCAAATATAGATACACCAAGCCTAGGGATGGAGAAAGGGGTGGCAATGGCCGAGAATTTAGGAACTCAAAGGAAGTTGCTGGGGAAAGCGCTGCGGCAAGCTGTGCTTCTGCCGACTCAGAAAACATCCATCCGGGAGAGCAATGGAGCCACCTGGCCTTTCTGTGTAATAGTGACACCATTACACACAGCTCCCAGAGACACTATTGCCTAGCATGCAAGAGGTTCAGGTTTAATTCCTAATACTAAAGGGAGGGAAAGAGAAAGGGAGGCAGGGATGGTTGGATGGAGGGAGGAAGGGAAGGAGGGAAAGAAAGAGATAGTGAAACTTGAAAAGTTAGAGATAGAGCTGGAGAGATGGCTCATCCTTTAAGAGCACTGGCTGCTCTTGCAAAGGCCCTGAGTTCAATTCCCAGCAACCACATGGTGGCTTACAACCATCTATAATGGGATCTGATGCCCTCTTCCAGTATGCAGGTGTACATTCAGACAGAGCACTCATATACATAAAGTATTTTTGAAAAACAGTTGGTGATGAACCTAGACTTAGACTTTTTGATGCTGTGTATAGTATGTTTTAAGATAACTTTCTAAGCTAGTTCACTGTTAACAGCTGTATTTCTCAGTTCAACTTACAGAACTAGAATATTCTCTAGATGTTCCTTTATTTGTAAAAAATAACAAATCTACTTATGCAAAAAATATTTTAGGACAAAGTTATTGCACTGTAATGTTTAAAATGTAAATTTCTGGTCTTGGGCATCCAGTGAGGTAAATGCAACAAGGTAAGCATGCATTTGTAAATGAAAAGTGTGATTTGCAGGATGCCTGGAAAAAGACGTACATCAGCATTCACAATGTGAGCACAAGTTCGTATCTAGGAAGCAAACTTAACGATGGTCTCTGGGTAGGTTGAATCTCCAGCCCATAATTACTTAAAGACAAAAGCTGCCCAGCCCAGCCCCTCAACAGAGTTCTTGAAATTTTCAATTCTTCTCTTTCCTAGCGTAAAACATTGTCAGTGTTTGTCCCACAGACCAAGAGACTTTTCCAAAACAACACTTGTCTACCAAGTTTTCCCAAAGCTCCAGGACCTGGATAATACCTCATCTCTTATCTTTTCTTTGGCCTTGGGCTCTAACTTTGCTGGTGCAATTAAATCACTACTATACACATCTGGCACATAAATCTCATGGATTAAGAAACCAGAAACCTGCTGAACCTCAAGGGGACTCAGTTTCCCCAATGGCAAAATCATACTAATGGCACTAGCCACCTGCTGGGCTATCAGGGGACTTGTCAACGATGTCTAAAATTACAAAGAGGCCCAGGGCCATAAAAAGAAGTCTTATTAATCAAATTAGTTGAGGACAAATACTAAAAAAATAAGATACAGTAACAGCAGTGGCAGCTCACAGTTAGTTAAAACAAAAGAGAGGGGAGAATTTTGCTGATCCTCATCATTACTAAAACTATTCCCCAATAATCCAAGACGAGCTTAACTTAAAAATAAATAAAGATAAGCTTACTTCTACTCACACAGCTTCTCACATCAGATCTCACTTCTTTCCAACTTCTCTAGAGGCCACTTTATATTCATTGACCACACCGCACAGCATTGACTTCAAACCACGTCCAAATATCACTTCCGGTTAAAGTAAATGGAAGCTATGCGACTTTTAAACATGAAATGCAATGTAATATAATTGCCACTGCATTATCATTCCTGTTGTGCTTTGGATAAACTTCACTGGCAACAGAATGTTCACTTGGGCTACAGAAGACAATGTACGAGTTGGCCCATCTCCTGATACTCGAGATGGTGAGAGATAAGTAACACGTAAGGGAATTCAAGCCACATTTCTGCCGATCTGAGGTTCTCATGTTTTAGAAGCCAAAAGCTATGAATGAGTTTGATGCAATTTAAACACCAGAAACAAAACAATGAAACAGAGCTCAGGGGCCTCAGCACTCTGCCGCATATTCTGATGCTGGTGCGCACAGTCTAGTTCATGAAGTCTAAGGGATGCTGGTTTGCAGCTAACGCTCAAGGTACTTTCCCCAGCGTCAGTGGTGGCTACCCTGCATGAACTCAGCAGTTTGTGCTGAGGTTCTGACTGGTGCTTTCCCACACATCAATCAAAAGGTTTGGAAAAGAAGGAGGCTTTACCAGTGCTGAGGTGGGGGTAGAGGCGGGAGAAACATCCTGCAGTTAAATGCAGCCATCAATCCGAAACCGAACAGGGACCACCCTGTATTTAGAAATGTGCCTGTCTAGGTTTTCTGAGCATCCCTCTCATCAGATTCGGGGAGGATTCCACATGAAACGAGCCAGGAGCAGCCTCTGTTGGGATGTTCCATTCATAGGGGAGGCAGCGCCTGGTCCATTCATGGTGGGGTCAGGGAGTCCTTTCCTGGTATTGGCTCTCAGCTCTCAGCAAGCTGCGCTTCCCAGAGAGCTGGCTGCATCGTTCAAAATGAGGATGTCTATTAAGGAGCCACGGTTAGAGCTATTATTAGAACAGCCATCCCTTGGAAATTTAGCAAAATTTGTCTGAATTGACTGAGCAGTTACTCTGCTAACCAGCCAGGGACCAGAGAAAGGCAGTGACTTGCTGGTTACACACAGGCAGCCCCCACGCCTTTCCAAGAGCAGCGCTGGAGAGACCTTCCTAAATCCAGTGTGCAACATCTGGGCAGCTGCCTGCAGTGCAAACGCACCTCATTTAGCCATTTTAAAAGAAGCGGGTACTAACGGGGGTTCCCTCCTGTTTTCCCCTCCCCTGCTCCCATTTTCTCTGCATCAAACTCTGCAGCCATCTGGAAAGGCCGCTCATCGGGCTCCAGCAGCGGAGGCTGCCCGGCCTCCTGCCACCTATGGTGAAGAGCCTTTTCCTGCACCCAAAGGGCCGGACACCTCTGTCACTTCCAGAAAGGAGAGGGAGAAAAAAAGCTTTTTTTTTTTTTTTTTTTTTTTTTTTTAAACCCACCTAGCTTGCTTATAGGAACCTCCTTCCCTTTCTTCAAGGGAAATTCAGAGTGTGGGTTGTGATGCCAAAGGACGTGTGTGTGTGTGTGTGTGTGTGTGTGTGTGTGTGTGTGTGTGTGTGTGTAGGGGGAAGGGCTGGCAGAAGGTAGCATCGTATTTGCCCCACGTGGGGCTCGTATTTTAAAAATGTATCAGAAGCGAAATAAAAACCTGCGAGCCTCCAGGTCCCTGCTGCCCAGCCCCGCACTGGAAAATGGGTTCAGAAGTACAGCCTCGTCAATCGCCCCCCTGCCGCCGCCACCGGGAAACAAAGACGCGTTACCTTTTATTTTTGTGCTCTTCTAAAGGAGCCGAGGAACTTCGGGTTGTAGGAGACTAGTCCACGGAAAACAGCTTCCCATTCGTCCCGGGCGCAGGCCCTTGGCCTACCAGGCGGCCTGGAAGCCCGGCGCCGCCTCCGCCTCCTCCGCGGCGCCCGCAGCCGCCCCGCCGGTGCTGGCGCGCCCGTCCCCGTCCCCGCCCCCGCCGCCACCCCGGTCCCCGCCGCGCCCGCCACGGGGCTCCGTCAGCCCATCGCCCGCTCGCGCCGCTGCTCACGCCGAGCCTGGCCCAGCGCCAGGGCGCACGGCCACCAGCCCGCCCCTCTCCCGCGTGGGGACCCGCGGCCCGCGGCGCCCGCTCGGCCGCATGGTCCCCGCCACCGGAGCCTGGCGGGGTGGCCGCTCGAGCTCTTGCAGGGACTGAGCGCGCGCCCGCTGGCCGGGCCTCCTCTCGCCACTGGATCCCAGGACAACAATGAAATCTTCTGCCTCCCCGGCGCCCGGTGCAGCCGAGGACACCCCAAGTCACCCCCTGAGCTGCCTCTGGCTTCTTTCCCACTGCTCCTAGCCGCACCCGCCAGCGACGCAAAGTTAGCTCGTAGACCAGAGAGGTTGCGCGCATCTGAAGCTCGCGCGGAGATGCTGGGAAGGGTGATTACGATCTGGAGGATCCCCTTTTCGTTTCAAGGCACCCAAACCCACCCAGACCCGCTGCGCGTGCCCCTCTCCTACCCTGCGAGCCAGAGAACGCAGATCCAATGGCTGGAGGCTCAGCTCTCCCGCCTCGATCTAGTCCAATTGTCTTGAATGTTAATCTCCCCTTAACTCTTGGGCAATGGAGGTTGCTATAAGATAACCCAGTCATAGGGCTATTGTCAAGGATTCGCGAAGTCCCTAGGAGAGGGAGACTTCCATGTCAAGAGACCTGGGGGAGGCAACGGAGCCAGTAGGGCTCCCTTTCAGAAAAAGGCAAGAAAAGAAACTCACAAGAACAATAACTCAGTTCACATTGTGTGTCTAAATGTTTACTGCCTGATGAGCTCAAAATGTTTTAGACACATTTTTTTTTTCTCACGAATTGTCAAAACACAGTTTGATAAAATAAAAGAAGCGGGCACAGCACCTACTTAGCAAAACACTACTTGTTTCAATCTTTGTTCAGAACCTGGCCATCTCTTTGCTTCTCAAGACGCTTCAGTCCAACCCTAACCCCGTCAGGCCAGAGGTGAGACTTCATCTCACCCTAGTGGGAAACTGGGTTTGAATCAGATTTTTTTTTTTTTTTCCTTTCTGGACTTTAGGAGGTGAGGATGGTTCTCATCTAACACAAAGCCCAGCTCTTTCACAGTGAGTCTGAGGCCCATCTCCCCCAATCCAGGAACCATCAGGAGCAGTCTTATGTCTTGGTTAACCCCCCCCCCTTTATTTCTTTTAGTGCTGGGGACTGGATTCACAGATGCTTAGGGGGAATACTGGGTTTCAAGCAAGCAGGCTATTTCCAGCTCCAACCTGTTTTGGCTGCAGAACTGAGCCGATGTTCAGGCCTGTAACATTTCTTGTTCACACTCTGTTCCCCTCTCTGGAGGAGACCCCTGCTGCTTTGTCACCTTGGCTGCCTGAGTTTCCAAGGCCATGGGCTGTTCCACTGAAAAATCCTCTCTCCAGGCTTGCTCCTGTACTGAAACAGCAGTCACCTGAAGGCCAGAGTGGGGACCGGGTATCCCCTCTCCTTCCTTCTTTCCTTACACTCAAAAGTCAAAAATTCCATCCAGGAGTCCCCCGAGGGAGGGCTGGGGAGACGATTCAGCTGTAGAGTGCTGGTCATGCAAGCATGCGGCCCTGCGTTTGGGATTTAGTTTAAAACCTGGGTTCAGATCTCAGATCACTCAGATCAGTGAGTAAAAAGCCAGGTGAGGCAGTGCACAGTTGTAAAATACAGAAGGATGGTTGAGGAAGACACCTGAAGCTGTTCTTTGGCCCTTGCACACACATATACAACACACACACACACACACACACACACACACACACACACACACACACACACGGGGGAGGGGGAGTTCTTGGAGAAAGACCACTGTCTGACTTTCTGAAACAGCAACTGGTGTACGATGGCTAACCACTGACTTCAGACGCTGTGACAGGCTCCTATCTCCTGCTGTTTAAACATCATCCACACAAGCTGGAGCGGCTCTTCCAAAAGTCAGATTGGGCCCTGTAACTTCTCTGCATCTTTCCAGGCTCTTAGCAGGAATACTATGCTTCTCCAGGTGACTCTAGGAACCAGGCCCTTCTGAAGCATCAGCCTGGCTTTGGCTGTCTCACCCCACCAGAGTCCCCACCACCCCTCTATTCCACAGCTTCATAACCGCCCCCCATCCCCACACACAGCAGGTGCTCTTTGATCCCCTTGTTAACCCAGCAGCCAAGACTTTAGAGGCTGCGGCAGCTTCTCCTTGCTCCTCCTCATCCTGTCTTCATCACATTTATTTTCACTGTCTCCTTTCTGCCCTAGGACCACTCTTGTCTTCCTTCCCTTTGTTGCCCCCTGTTCCTGCCACCATCCAGGCCTGTGTTCTCCTAGGCAAGGCTGAGTCCTCTGGCATATGCTATCTACCTAACTGATGCGCACTGGTGTAAGTTTCATTCACAAATGAGCAGCCTCCTCATCCAGGTTTGGGTTCCACACATGGAGTGTGGTTCTTGTGGAACTCTTCACAGGCACACCTTGCTTATTTCTCTCTCACCACTTGTGAGACCTCAGAGGACACCCCATCTGAAACTTACTTCTTTGATATATTTTCAACTGGCAATTCAGAGAAAACGAGGACAATCTAAAACGCTGTTCATGTGTGACTGAAATTCATACCAGTGCACATTAGTTAGGTAGAGAGCATATGCCAGAGGACTCAGCCTAATAGTCCATTGCCACCTTCTTCTGGAATCTCAGTTTTCTTTCCAGACAGTATATATACTTTAGCTATCTACCTTTTTTTCTTTGGGGCTCAACTTGTGGCTCACGTGTTCAAACACTACATAAAAATTGCTTTTTTTTAGCTGGGCATGGTGATATATCTCTGTAATCCCAGGACATGGGGGGGCTGAGGAAAGAGAATCACAAGTTCAAAGCCAGCCTAGCTACATAGTAAGTTAACCTTGTCTCAAACAAACAAGCAGGCCTGCCAATAAGATCTACATCTGGCCTTACAAGGACACGTGTTAGTATTTCCCAAACTGTGCAATTTATCTTGATAGTAGAGGGGAGCTCAGTGATAAAATGTGCTTGTAGCCCTGGACTCTAGCTAGATCTATAGCTAGGTGTTAGGGAGGCTCCCAGCTCTTGTGAAACTGGTGAAGGAGGTCTACAGCAATGACAAGGCTAGCCTAGTCTATAAAGTGAGATCCCACCTCAAAAATACATACATACATACATACATACATACATACATACATACATACATACATACATACATAGCAGGGGGTTGGGGAAGGAGATGGCTCATTTCCATGTGTAGTGGTTTGAATAAGAATGCCTCCCATTGGCTCAAATATTTGAATGCTTAGTCATCAGGGAGTGGCACTATCTGGGAAGGATTAGGAGGTGTGGCCTTGTAGGAGTAGGTGTGACCTTCTTGGAGGGAGTGTCACTGGGGATCGCTTTGAGGTTTCAAAAAGCCCCCAACAGGCTCAGCTGTGCACCCTTCCCCACAGCCTGCAGATTAGCTCTCAGCAACTTCTCTACATGCCACACTTGTCACCATGTCCCTGGTCATGATGATAATGGACAAGACTCTGAAATTATTAGCAAGCCCCCAATTAAATGCTTTCTTCCTTAGAGTGGCTTTGGTCATGGCAGCTCGTCACAACAGTAGAACACTGACTAAAACACTATGTAAGCCTGGTGACCTGAGTTCAGATCCCTGGAACCCACATAAAAGAACAAATGTGGCAACACGTACTTCTCCAGTACTCCTACAGCAAGACGGAAAGCAGAGATCAGAGAATTGGTCAGAACCTCACAGACCAGCACATCCTAGAGTACGCTACACAGCAGCAAGAAACAATGAGAGAGACACCACCTCAAAACATGAATGGGAGAATCACCCTTCCAAAATTGTTTCCGTCTGACTCCCACATGTATGTCATTGAACATGTCCTTTGCCTGCCTTCCTAAAGTTAGCAACATTGCTGTTAGATGCTAAGAATATTGCAAAGACTTGTTAATCACCACAGGATTTAGGGCTAGCCTTCACTTCTACATTCTCTATTTCTAGCAAACATCCTTTCATATTGCAAGCAGGTTGTAAGGATGGAGAAAGACCTCCCAGGAGCTGGTTAAAGTGCACGGCAGGTTTTGAATGAACCCTATTCTATTTTTATACCCAGTCCTTGTGTCACCTCATTTCAAAACCAATTAACAGGCAATTATGAGTCACTTGTATAAAACATTAAGGATCCCATCTTCAGACTGGAGAGATGGCTTAGTGGATAAGAGTGCTGGCTGCTCTTCCAGAACACACAGGTTCAATTCCCAGCAACCATATGGCAGCTCACAACTGTCTATAACACCAATTCCAGGAGATCTGACACCCTCACATAAACATACATGCAGGCAAAACACCAGTGCATATAAAATAGAAAATAAATCATTAAAAAAAAAAAGAATTCCATCTGTTTTCATAGTCTGGGATAAAGTACCTAAACTCTGGTTCCTGCTGTACACATGATATAATCATCCAACATCTGTGTTTTATTTCATTAGTTTATAAAATGATTATGTAATTTTGTAATAGTTAAGTTTTATGTGTATGTGTGTATGGTATATGTACATGTCTGTGTGAGAGAGACAGAGAGAGAAACAGAAACAGAGAGAGAAAGAGAGTTAGAGAGAGGTGGAGAGGGAGAAAGAGAGAGAGAGAGTCCTAGTACAAGCAAGAGAACACAATGTCTGTGTAGACTGCAGGGCTTGACTATGCTGGGTGTCTTTCTCTATCACAGTCAACTTTTTATTTTGTTTATTAATATTATTAAGACAAAGTCTCTCACTGAACTTGTCGCTAAGCAGATCTGAACTCAGGTCCTCAAGCCTGCATGGCAAGCACTTTGTTAACTGATTCAGCCCAATA